CTGCTGCTGCTGCTGCTGCTGCTGCTGCTGCTGCTGCTGCTGCTGTGGCTGCTACAGTTTCGATCAAGTCGCGGTGGTCGGTGGTTTTTCGGGGCGGAGTGCGGAAGCGATGTGTTCTTATCGTTTAGAATCGGTGGTTTATTTTGTTTACGGGGAGGTTTGTTAGTGAATATCCAGTGATTACTGGGTCTGATGGAACCAATTCCATCCAGAAATTGATCTGCTTGCTGAGGAAGAAAGGCCTTCCATTTTTTGTTTCACATCAATTTTAGAATTTTACCTTAGTGAAGTTTTTGTTTTTTTCTTGCTCTCACGCGACTCTCCCGTAGGGAGATGTGTGATGAAGCATTACAATGTAGGAAGTCACACATCAGCACTGTGAATCTCTGGGCGAGTTCATGACGTCATATCCGTGACGTCAGCAGGCGGAAGTCTCGTTTGCCGGTGTGTCAGATGTCGTTAACAATTTTTAGGGGTTTGTTCTGTACGATGCAGATGATGTATTGTCGAATGTTATCGTTTGCTGTCTTCCAATGCAAACACGTCTGTACGGTTCCATCTAATACATCTACATTACGCAGACACACACCTAGTACATGTAGTAGGGAATTAATCAAACACTGATACGATGCTCTGGTCATATTTTGATTTGTTCTAGGATTTTTAGCACAAGTTTTAAAAAAGCTTCAAATTTTGGCTGATGACTTTTAAATTTCGAGAGATTTAGACAATGTTATGTATACAACAGATATTGATATTACCGTTTGGTTACTTTTCACGCATAGCTGTAGTTTCGATCTAGTGTCTATAGCAGTTATATTTGTGTGCATGCATGATGATGTAAGTTGATCAGTTACATGATTCCCTATAGCATGACTAGACATGACATGTATTTATTACGAGGGTCTCCTGATATTGTACGGTAAAGACCGGCGTATCCGCTACCACTCGAACAAACAGTAACGATCTCTGATATTTATATGTCGCTCGTAAAGGCATTGTCACTCACTACTCACGGCTGTATATTTTAAAAGTATTGATAACAATAATGATACAATCATTCGCGCTGCTGCTGTTGTTGCTACTACTACTGCTGCTGCTGCTGCTGATGATGATGATGATGATGATGCTACTGCTGCTGCTGCTGCTGCTGCTGCTGATGATGATGATGATGATGATGCTACTGCTGCTGCTGTTGCTGCTACTGCTGCTGCTGCTGCTGATGGTGCTGCTGATGGCCTCAATGATGATAAACTGCTTCTGCTGCTGATGATGATAATGGTGCAGGTGATGATGTTGATGATGCAGCTGATGGTGATGATTATGATGATGATGATGATGATGATGATGATGATGATGATGATGATGATGATGACGGCAATTCTACTAGTAGTCAGATTGTTGTCATTTGATGCCATAATTAACCACGCCGTTTTTCGTGGTTTACCATGAAGTTTTATGTGACATTGTCCACTTTTGTCATCTGAAATATTTGTGAGTGGAATTATCGTACGACATTCTCACAGTTGCTCGTAAGCTACCTACCTCGGTCGCAGATAGATCCATTCATGCATCGTGTTTTGAGATGGTAATCATTCTTGCTTTTTTGATGGATTGCGCGCGCGTGTGCGTGTGTTGCGTGCATGCGTGTGTGTGTGTGTGTGTGTGTGTGTGTTGCATGCGTGCGTGCGTGAATGCGAGCGTGTGTGCGTGTGTGTGTGTGCGTTGGTCCGAGCGTGTGCGTGTACGTGTGCGTGCGTGCGTGCGTGCGTGTGAGTGCGTGCTGGTATTTTGTGCATGTTACTACGTACAGCGAGCTGCTCCTGTAATTCGTCACAACATAACGCGTGGTGAAGGTGTACGCGCTGTTTTCGAGTATTTGTTATGGATTTGCTGGAGATATATTTTTATATTGTATAACTGCGCTGCGTTCTCTTCGTCGGAGTAACGGACGTAGCTGGAGAGTTTAGTGAGTCCACGCGGATCTTCTGTAGAGACATTCTAGCGTCTTCGATTCGTATTACACGCGTCGCGACCTGTTCTTCATACAGAGTCCAGCGCATGTAGCGGCAAACTTGCAAAGTGTCAAACTTGCGGTTGGAACTTTTATCAAGCCCCGAAAAAAGGCCGTCAAGGACAGATAAAAACATCACGAACATAACAAAAAAAGTTTTTTAATGTACTTTTAATACGAAGCATTTGTTTTGGATTTTGTAAAAGAAAGATTATTCAACGCGGAAGTTAGGTGTTCTGTGCACAAGTCACCGCCAAACATATTAGATCTGCTAGAATGAGGTGTTTCACAGAGTGACTTTTTCACATTGACTTTTTCCGTTAGGTATTCCTCCGTTTTAGATTGAACTGCTAGCTGTTTTTGGTTTAGTTATCATTAGTATAATTTGCATACATGTGCAATAAATAATGTTGATAAAGGACTCATTAGAAGTCATCACAGCATAGATGGCGCCACTGTAAACACTCCACCGTTCATAATACGCACGAGATATGAAGACGATGAATGAGAAATATGGTGTGTATGCGTCTATGTACGTACATGTATATATATGTGTGAATAACAAGAATAACTAATAATAAAAGTGTAAAATGTGATTAATTACGCGCTTGCGCTGGTTTTACCAATGTCATCAGCTGTTATATTATCTTATAGACTGCGTCCTAGGGTAGGGGTGGGAAAGAGATGGGGTAGGGTAGGGAGAGAGGAGAGAGCGACAGCTGGAAGGCAAGAGATGGGGTAGGGGAGGGAGAGAGGAGAGAGCGACAG